CACTCCCTCAAGCCTCATTAAAATCACATTTAGAATGATATTCAAAACATGAATCAGATTCAGTTTTGTTTGTTTGAACAAAACTGGTATGAATGGCAGAATATTTAATAATGCAGAGAAGATAAGAATTAATCGTAACTGGTACATTCAACAGTTTGAGTAAGTAGCATTTCTCCTTCAACAATAAAAAATAATACTGCCAACACTGTCTCTAGCATTAGCATGTTTGTTGTATTCCACATTACAGAAACTGGTAAAAGGCAGGTGAAAAAGAAAACATGAAAACACTCATCTTGCAGGTTTTGAAATATTTTTTTTATACTGATACAGAATTTCTACTCCCTAAACATTAACTCCATTATTTTTGCTCAATGCTACCTAAAGGTCATAATGCTGCCTTCTACTTTAGATGACCAAACTCTTATTTTCACTAAATTGGTCCCGAAGCACAATGAACTGAGTTGATAATCTTGTTTCAGATTTTAATTTACAATTAAGGGGGTGAAAAAAGTTTTGTTTGTTTGTTTAAACTTAAAACCAGGGGGTGATTGTGGGCAAAGAATGGAGAATTAGCTAATGTAGCTTGGCAAGAGCACCAGCTGTGCGAGGACTTTCACACAAGAGTGGGACAGAAACCAGACAAAGAACCACTCAGAAATGGAAAAAATATTCTGAGAGACAGAAAAAAAACATGGGAGATATTAAAGGGACGCAATAGAAACATATTAAGGATACAGGAAAGCTATTAAGTTAGCCTTAAAATAGAATTTCTCTAGGGATTTTTACAGTACACACATTTTGATGTCTTAAAAAAGGAAAGAAAAATCGATCAGAACATATCTTGCTGAAGTGTTTAAAAAAAAATATCACAGGAAAGACACAAGAATATTATTTAAAAAATTGAAAATCTGAATTTCTTAGAGCTGAATCATCTAAGCATTTGTTTAGTTCTACCTGTCCCCACTAGAAGGTGTTATTTGGAAATCCTGAGCCCAGTTTGCTAAGAGACTCAAAAGGAGAAAGTTTATTTGGATTAAAAATAGCAAGTTTTGGTTATCTGCTATCTTTTCATACTTCCCATAAAACCAAACACTTGGAAGCAGTACTTGCAATTTCCTTGACCTGACTTTGGACCAAGATATTTTTGAAGTTATTTCAGATAAATGTTGACACTACTGTACCTGCTCTTTTAATTTGATTCAAATTACAGGATTAACCAGTTTTTTGTTTTATTTGAGGTTCCATTTTGTGAATTTTCTCTACTGATGGCAATAAAACCATTCTATTTGGTTCTATAAAATATATCATAGACAGTATTTTCAGAAAGTCAGTCTTTAGCAGATGAGCCCCTGTGCAAATGCTATACACTAATAGAGCCAGAGGATCAAAGACTTAAAGTCTATAGTAATAGCATCTCCCACAAATATGCAGAAAACAGTTAAAAGCCTTGAGGTAGTTGGAAGCTCCACCAAAGCCCTTTATAATGTTCAGAAGCTGAACAAACTAGATCTTGCCTGCTATACCTCACCTGCATTACTACTCTAATGTTATTGAAATAAGAGTACCCTTTCCTGACACAGAAATCACATAATTTTCCAATTAGTTTCTCTGAAAGCAACTTTATGAGTGTCATGACCAGCCTCTAACATGGTCCCTGCGCAAGGGTGACACGCAAATTTGTGAAGCAAATTAACCTTACCCCAGCCAAAACCAGCACAATGAGGTATGAACTACTTCACATTTCATGCACTTCTGAAGTGAGGACACAGTTCCAAAAGTGAAGTGCAATTTGAGACTGACCATACTTAACACACAACAGCTAAGAAAAGGGTTTGTTTCTGACAGCAGGACAGAAAACACTGTCAGACTTCTGTGTCTCTCGGAAGTTCAAGAAATACACTTGCTTCAAGTGTAACCATGAGAAGTACAGACCCCAGCTTTGCCTCCTTAATCAGCATACTAACTAGTAGGCAATTTTAGCACAAGAACATTTTTTTCTTTGCATTTACATGGTAAGCAATACAGTCAATTAACTAATGTTAACTTGTGTTATGAGTGTTCAACATAAGGAAGGTTAGAAGCACATGACACAAGTCAGTTTACACAGAGCACTACTGAAACAGCCACCACACAAGATGTCATGGGTTTATGTGGCTGGGTTTTTGGTAGTGGGGGGGCCATAGGGGTGGCTGCAGCTAGAAGCTGCTAGAAGCTTCCCCTGTCCTATGAGGAGCCAATGATAGCCAGCTCCAGGATGGACTTGCTGCTGCAGGCTAAGGCTGAGCCAATTAGAAGTGATAATATATTTAAGAACCATATCTGTGATAATATATTTAAGAAAAGAGGGCTGTTGTGCAGAAAAAAATTCCAGCCCGGAAAGAGTAGAGGGATTACGTGGGATAACAAGCAGACTCCAAGGTCAGTGAAGCAGGAGGGGGGTGGAAGGGCCCAGGGGTCCCCCTTTCCCGCTCCAGCAGGGGAAAGACTGAGAGCCGAGGACCCTGCTGCTGGTGGAAGATCATTTGGGTGGGGAGACCCCCCTGCAGCTCATGGAAGAGCCCATGCTGGAACTGGTGATTGCATGAAGGAGGCTGTGACCCCGTGGGAGGCCCAAGGACAGAGCAGAGTCCTGCAGGAGACCTGTGGCCTGTGGAGAGGGAAGCCCACGCTGGAGCAAGTTTTTCCTGGATAGGACTTGTGGCCCTGTGGGGGACCCATGCCAATACAGCTCATCTGTGGAAGAGTGACCCACTGAACAGCAGATTGGGAAGAACTGCTGCCTGACGGACAGACTCATGCTGGAGAGGTCCATCAAGGACTGTATCCCATGGGAGGGACCCCCACGGGAACAGGGGAAGGACTCAGTGATGTGGTCCCCCTGTAGCCTGTGGTGAAGACCATGGTGACTTAGGTGTCCCCCTACGGACCACAGAGGAATAACCCACAGGACAACAGAATAGGAAGAGCTGCTGCTGGAGGAATGGACTCAAACAAAGCCCTGACTGCAAAAACCCCCCTTCCCCATCCCCCTGCACCGTTGGGAGGGAGGAAGCTGAGAAAGAAGGAAGGGTGCTGGGGAAGGTGTTTTTTAAGACTTGTATTTCTCACTCTTTAGCTCTTATCTCGTTAGCAATAAATTTAAGTATTATGCCCAATCTGACTTGTTTTGTCTATGAAAGCAAGTGGCTTCTCCCTAACCCTTATCTCTACTCAGGAATTCTTTAGCTGTTTGGTTTTTTTTCTCTCCTCTGTGGAGTTGCAGCAGGAGCTGGGGGAAGGGGGGGCACAGGGGTGATGTAGCAGCTTGACCCGACAAGGGTCAAACCACTACACAGGATTTCACTGAAGACCACAGGAACCTAGCCGAAATGAAACACGGAAACAATGCCAACACCTAAGGATACAAGCTTCCCAAATGCGACACTCAGGTGAAAGTCACTAAAGGATTTGTGCTGGGGGAAGGAGGGCAGAGAAAGGCTGGTGTAGCACTGACTCATTCCTAATATGTCACTTCTGAAAACACACTGCTCACATCGCTCCTGGGGACAGGCATGGAAATGTCATTGACTGTGCGAAAGCAGCGGGTGCGGAACAAGTTGCCAAAAGATCAATTTACAGAAACACAAAAGGATGATAAACCTGACAGCTTCCTTTTGTATTTAGTAATTGTCCTCTGCAGTTTTGCTAACAGAGGAGGATGCCTGATGAGCATATTCATTATACCAGCGATGTAATTTACCACAGATTTGACGCTGTAAAGCTGTATGTTAGAACCCAAACTTCTTGAAAGCATTCTTTCTATAAATAATTTCAAGTAACTTGGCAAAGCAGAAAGTATGTAAAACATACAGCTTGTTATAAAAACATTTCTTTTAACTTAATTCAATGAAACAATACTAATATAAAGAAATTAAGAGCAACATTTTTTATCAAAACAATACAATTAAACAATTAACATTTAACATTAAATTAGAAACACCTCCAACAAAAGGTTAGTTCCTTCAAGTGAACTCCCTTTTTTAAATTCTTACTATGCAAACAGTTCTGCCCCAGTCCTTGAAATTTTTTAAACTAATCACACCCCAAAATTTTATAAATTAACGAGTAGGTACCTTAACATGAAATGCTGTGTAATGAAGAGAATTACATGTGAAAGAAAATACAAACATAGTCATGGAGACAATTTGTTTTGTCTCACTCCTGTATCTTTCCCCCACATGATAGCTACACAACATCTAATTAAAAGAGGGGAAAAATACCAGGTAAAAAGACAGTTCAAATCAGTCCTCTCTTCAGAGCTCAAAGTGACTCTAGAGGACTGGAACTTAGAATCTAGAAAGGCAAAAGTACCCCTTTCCCTGCTACAGATAGGAAGCTTTACTCAAAGAATACAAAAGGAAGTTATGTTTGCTGAGAATCATATTACTATTTTTAGCTCAGTGATTATTTTCCAGGATAATCTTTATCCTGTTTCTCTGTGTTATGTTAGTGCTATTAGGGAACAATACCATCATCCAGCGCTCCCAAGTTTTGCATGTGCATCGTGAATGTTCCGTTTTTACATAATTTTATACTGCATAAATCAGCTGTAGTATCAGCATCTGACAAGCCTTCGTGTCAAAACCTTTTGCCAAAAACTGTATGCAATTTATTACTCTGCTCACCAGACCAAAAACCTGCAGCTATTAACCAAACGAGAACATTGAAAACTATGTGATTTTTTTTTTTTTGCAGAAATCACTACCTAGGAATTTAACGAAAATCATCTGTAATGAAAAAAGGCCTTCTATAGTCTTAATTTGTCACTAATAAGATATCAGTTTAAAAGACAGAGCAAAAGATATAACAATGGTGATAAATTTTCCATTTCCCATTTAATGAAATTATATTTTTTTTGTTGCCTGGGGGCTCATGTTTGACTTTCCAGGAAAACAGATAATTTAGAGATACGTAAAGATATAAACTTAAAAACTAAATAGTCCAGGAAACAATTTACATACTTAGGATGTCGGATGTCTGGCAGTGATCGTTCCAGTGCTATATTGTTGCTAACAAATATATTGAAGCCATTTTCCCTATAAGCAGAATCATCGTGGTCTTCCTCTGTAAGAGGGTACGGCTTCCCATGTTCACCTTTTCCTATAACAAAACAAAACAATTATTTGCCTCAAACTCACAGCACAAAATGGACTACAAAGAGAAAAATAAGTTACACTGAACTTCCATTAGAACACTGTGCCTGGAACATCTCAAAGAAATGTCTTCCAGTATCTTTAGCAACACTCCTGTTACTTCCAACACAAAACCATAAAGTAGGGACAAATAATGAGACTAAGAAGTCGTTCTGAATTCACCCAAGTCATCTAGTTTTCTCTTTCCAGATACACAATCAGCTTAAAGCCATCTTATACAGAAAAAATTGAATTGTAGATTAAGCTAAGACCTTTTTGGCATCAGAATCAAGTTTTCATAGCAAAATTAAGAACAAATTCCAGTTCCAGAAATACTCCTTTTGATTAATATGAGGAACCAGGTTACTGAGTTGCTTTACATTTTAGTAGTCAGAACACCTGTACCACTCACTCATCTTTTCAGAAAGCAACTTTATCACTGAAGTTTAGAGTGTCTAACTTTCCAGAAGAAACAGTAAGGAAACCAAATGCTTCACTCTAGGCTCCTTGAACATGCTTGCATTCCTAGGGACAAGCCAGATATGCTTAGTGCTTCTAATGTAAGAGCACTGCTGATGTGGTTTCAGAAACTGGTCACTTCGTGCTTCCCCAAAGAAATCATCTGCTTGTTCCCTGGCAAACTACAGACTTTCTATTCCAGCTTTTTATTTCCAAGGTAGTTCTCATCACCAGTCACTAGACTTGCTTAGTACCTACCTCAGGCAACTATACCTCTATCTGTTCCAGTGAGAGAGCAGAGAACAAACAAAAACACTTCAAAGAAAATCAGAACATAAAAACCTTCACTTCTTCTCAACTATTTTTATTCTTTTCATTCTTGCAGAGGATGTACCCTTCAGAGTTTCAAAGCCCTTCATGCCTACTCATGTTCTCAAGAAGATATGCTTTCCTCTATATTTAATTGATCTGGTTATATATAACCTCTCTCTGCTTCTCCCTCAGCGCCCACTTGTGAAAAAATACTTCCTTTTACCTGGGCTCTTATAAAGAAATTAACTTGCCAGCTGGATTCAATAGGTGACCAGCTGGGTCCTGATCCTCAGCTAATCAGGAGCAGCTATAGGAGGGGATCAAGAGGAAAGTAACCAGGAGCTGAGAGAAACATCCAGTGGTATCTTTAAAGCTCACAAGCCTCTGTCAGTACTCTGTTTCATACCACACAGGCAAATGACAATAAAAACATAGAATATGCAACTTAAGGTGCTGTAGTTACTCAGTTTTAGATTTTTTTTCAGCTAAAATAATACTTTTTTATCCCAAACTTTGTGCGTATATTTACAGTCTGATTTAAGAACTTATGAAAGCAATTAATGTTACTTACAATGGGGGAAAAATTTAGTTTGTATCATGAAAGGCATTTTGCTTATGCTATTTCATTACTAACAAGTATCTTGTCATTTTTACTTTCAAACATCCCCAAATGCATGCAACACACTAACATAATACAAAATCTGAGATTAAGCTTCAGTATGTCTTTATGATTTCATGCTACATATGAGGAACTATGACATTAAAGAAACACTAGATGAGTCAAAGTACTACTCAAAATACAACAGTACGATTGCACCAAATTCTGACTCATAATAAAGTAACAAGCTAATGTTACTCAACTCCCAGTATAGAAATTTTAGCCCCTCATTTTCATCATATATTCTAGATAGACCAAAAGTAACTATTTTAACTGGTGGTTACTAGTTGGTTAAGTACTGTTGGTTACTTAAATAAGGTGGTTACTAATACTGTGAAAATTCCAGAATAAGTTACCTATATGATGACATACTACTACTGTCACTAACATTTTTTTTTTTTTTACTATAGAATTTTCTGTATATTCCAGCCATTCACTCTGTATAAAGAAAGGTGGATTCTTGCTTTGCTTTTCTTAAAGGAGTCCATTTGGCTATTCAGGAGATGAATATTTTTCATAATACTAGAGTTTCTTTATATTGTCCCCTGCTAGTGAAATTGAAGACAAGTACTTTTAAAACAGGGAAACTGTTGGCAAAACAGATCAGCTATAAATAACTTTGAATATGCAACAGAAGTGGAGTTCTGCACTACTTCCATATTCAATGGAAAGGAAAACTTGTTTAAAACTATAAACAACAAAACACATGGCAACAGGTGTTATCAGGGTCTTCTGGGTTTTCTTTTTGAGTTTTGTTTTCATAATTCAGATGAGAGTTATTTATAATTTAATAGGCATGATAAAAAAAAGATTGGCTTTGCCAGATAACTTCAAGGGGTTAAACAATTACTTAACATCTTAACACAGGAAACCAAGTGGATAAAGAACATAAACCACTCAGTGTCTGTGGGGAAGAACTGTGTACAAATCTGAATTATTTACTGCTTATACTCACTGCTGTTAGCTTACTCAGGCATGACTACATAGCTATACTAACTCGAAACTGTAATTCACAGAAGTATTTAAGCACACCCTTTAATTCAGGCATTCAAGCATCCTTTAATCCAATAACATTTGTAGTAGGGAATAAGAATTCTCCATGTGCTAAAAGCTTTAGTAAATACAAGGAGTTTACTTTAATACATGAATCTACAAATAAGTAAGTATTCTTATAGTGCATTTTTTTTTTATTTTGGGTAAGTTAATTCTGATATTTTTAAAAAATATATTATGAATTTTGTCTACTATCTCTAAACATTCCATTGAGAATATAGTACAACATTGTCTTTGCTCATCACACATAAAGTTCAAGTCCATCCTCCCTCTTGAAAGTTCTCACAGTGAGGACAGTTATTTCATCTTATCATATGTCAATACAGAATTGAAGTCCCACAGAGGGTGGGAGGGAGTGACTGTATTTCTTTAACAGAGAAACACAAATTTCAAATGAATGCAGTCACACATCAGCTTCAAAAAAAGAGTGTGGGAAGTAAAATGGAAAATAAAGATCAGCAACAAAATAAGAGCATTGAATCAGACATTTTACATCCTCTTGCTACATAAACTTCTACACAATAAATAGCCTTTTTGATCCCTGATATGGCAATTGGCCAAGTCAGAGGGCAAAAACTCTGTTTAAAGCTATTGTAGCATCTTTTACATAATTTCTGAATTTCCCTAATGCACAACTGTATACAACTCGCCATCTTGTGCTGTGGAGATCAATTCCATATTACTTAGATTAATAAGTGTAACAGATTAGCAATTCAGACTGCCAGCACGTTCTGCTTTTTTTAGGAAGTGAATTTCCATTTGAGTACAAATAAAATAATTGTATTCCTTACTTTTCCTCACAAACAGAAAGGCAGGGTGCAGTACATCTGCAAAAAAACTGATTAAATTATCTTCAACAGAGAGGCAACTTGATATATGCACAAAAAAAAAGGATTTTTTTTTTCCTGAAAGTATACATCTTATCTTCATCTTGTATCAATAGTATCTACACTTGGTGGAGTTCTAATCCTATTCACAAATGTTGTATTTTGAACCCTTAGAAAGACATACAGGAGAACAATTATTTATTTTAAGGGGCAAATCAGGGATTGGTATAGACTAGTCCTCGGGGAAAAAAGGAGAAAAAGGAAGTTGTTATATCAAAATCACTTTCTCCTTTCATACTAAGCAAGGATTTGGATTATTTTGAGCAAACGCCTTCTGTGGTTTTGCACATTTACGTTAATTTCCAATAAAAACGATGAACACTTTAATAAATTAATGAAGCATCTTTCTTTGCCAAGTTTTTATGGAGACAGAAAATTAAAACTGCACATCTCACATTAATGGAATTTCCTTCATATCAAATGGAACTATCCAAATTGCAAAAAATGTGTGAGCGTATATAAATATATATATATATATAAGGGCTTTTCAGATTGAAAATAAGGAACATTTTTCTAACTGTGTGAATAGTGAAACAATGGAATAGGAAATCCAGGGAACTGTGGAATACATGCAAGCAAGAAATGATATCACAGCTTTGGTCGTATACTGAGGTTTATCCTAACCTTAAAATCCTATGAACACTATGAGAAACAGGAAGAGAACTGACAATAAGTTCCCTCAGAGTCCAGAAAACTTGCATCAGAAACTGAAATATATTTATGTCAAGTCTGTTCTACTTTTCCCAAACTTCTCAGAGTATTCCACTAAGTCAAACAATTTCATTAGCCTAATTTATAGGAAAGGAATTCAACTGATTTTACATCAATGGAAATGGGATCAAAATAACCTTTTAAAATTTATTTTATTGCTACTCTACCTTGCAACAGCTTGAAAAACCACTGCAGTAAGATTTACAACACTTTTAATTATTTATTACATAACTCTGTCATGACCTGAGGCAATGTAAAAGGCTTTTTCTTAGCATTACAGACACAGCTGTAATCAAATCAAATGTAAATCAAATTTATTTATTACAGTTTCAATGTCGAACTACTACAGAATACAACAATCAAACAGTCACTCAGTTTTCTGGTAGAAAGTTCCTACTATTTTATCTACCTTCAGATGACAGTAGCATACACAGATTTTCTGTTCAAGGACCATGGTGAGTGGTACAGAGATGTCGCTGGGAGCAAAAATGAGGTTTTGGCCTCCAGATTGCTGCTACAGTAACATGATGGTCAGCTGGAGAAATATGAATTAAATTGCTTCTCTCTTCATGAATGGCTTTATACAATTAGCATAGGTTGGGAGAAAAGGGAAGAAAAAACATAGAACTTTAAATTTTATTTGACTGCCTGCTCACATCCAGAACTCAACACCACACCTCAACTCAAAACCACAAAACCTCAACAAAACAACAAAAAAACCAACCAACCAACCAACCAACCAACAACAAAAAAAGCAGAGAAGAAAGGAGAATATGTTCCCTAAAAATTTTAAAAGGGTACATTCATATTGTACTGTAGTTGAATCTTTGGAGTATTGTTTGCTTATCATTCACATGAGATACAAATGAAATGAACTGTTGCTAACAT